TTAGCCTTTAAGATATTTTTTGTTAAACTCATAAATAACGAAGCCCTTTGTTAATTATTACAACATCCCACTGGAGGGAGGAGGGGAGAAAATAGAATCAAGTTATTAAGAGAGAGGTTAATACTATCGTAAAATTACAAAAATACTGTAATCTAAAAAAAGATAATATGAATTCGGGGTTTTTGCGCTTTTCTCGCGAATTATTGTTATTATCTAATGTAAATTTCTTTAATTATTCAAAATATATGGCCTGCCTAAATAGACATTTTATATGATTATAATTAGATTAGATTAAGCGCCCTTTGGTTTGAGTATATTCTATACTCAAATGGAATTTAACAAGAAACTGATTACATTAATTTGTAAAAACAAGCCTTTTAACTATCTTCTGCTCTCTCTCTGACAGGGTGGAGTTCCTAGAGTGAAGCCTAAGTCTTATGCTGTCCAACTACAGGAAATACTGTGGCGCATGTAAAGGATTAACTTGTTTTCCCAGGTTACACATGACTTGAGATAGCGCAATATGAGAGACAGACTGTACACTCTTGTTCAGATTAGGACTGAGGACCAAAAAGCATTACCTCGTCATAAGAGATTAAACACGACAAGTAGTGAGACTGGGAAGGCTGTTTCGCCTCGAAGAATTTAAAGATTTAACGTTTATTTTACTTATAGTTAATTCTGTTGTTGTTTTTTTCTATTGTTAACAAAACACCACATTGTAGTTACGTCAGTACCGAGCGTTGTAAAGTATCAAATGTGAGACGATATTTTATGAAACAATAAATCAAATAGACCAATTTTCTCCAAGTAGATGTGTTTCAGCATTTTGAGTCAACAGACTTTTATTTATGAGGGTTCTATACATTTTTAAGGGAATAGAGCACATATGGGTGTGTAATATAAAAACAAACAAAAAACACGATTTGTAGCGTTCGTAAAACCAGAGTAGCTATACTTAAAAGAAACACAAGAGGATATAACCGAACAAATTAAGATAAATAGATATACTTTTTTAACGATTTGGGTAATAAGTATAAGCTCGATGATAACCCACAATGACCTTATATCTTACATCACTTAAAGTACTTTTTCTCCTTAGAGGTTAGCTCTCATTTAATCATTTAGATGTCCATAAACCTTTAACTTATCAACCCAAAAAACGAGTTAAAGAACAAAGTAGGAGTCGCAAATAGAATAACAGAAAAAGATCAAAACCAAAGTGATGAGAGGATTGATGTTCAAAACACAAATGCTGCTTTGGTTAAAAAAATCAAAAGTTACAATAAGGGAGTAATATCTGAAATCAGTTTTTTGTTTCTTCAGATACCTAAACATAGAAAAAGGTATATGCTATTCCATGCTTTTGATAGTTATCAAATGTATTTAATATAATTCTACAGTATAAATAAAATAAAATATATTCATGTTTCTAGACTCGTGCTGCAATACACAAAAACGCATTAAATAATACTTTTTCTACACTACTAGAATTGTGAATTGTGGCCCATTATATTCTTAGATTTGCCATGTCACTAAATTACAACGATTATGTGGATTTACACCATTCATAAGTAGCCCCACACATGGAAAACCAGCAAACGAAAGCTGTATGTTGTAGCGATGCATTTCTCTCCGTGTATTTGAAATGTCCTTTATTCGCCCCAAGTAAGTGTATTCATTTAGGTATTTGAAAAATACACCATATTCACCACTGAAACCTAAATACACATTCAAAAAAGTCAGATAACTCCTCCCCTTTACCACACACATTCACATTTTTCATTGCACTGATATAATTTTTCCAGAAATCTGTATCGTTTTTTATAACTGTCGTTTTCTTTTCAAATATTTTAATGATCATCCATCCGTTTCTCATACTCATTCCTAATCCTTATAAAATACAAAATACCATCAAATATAACTCAATAATTATAGCCGCCAAGTCTTTTTGTTTCATTAAAGTTCATAAAAAATATTGGATTTGGTGTTTTTATGAACTGCGTGAACCTGAAGTGTGTGGACGATGTTTTAATCTCTACTGGAGCTTTAGATACAGCCCGCACTTCAAAGCTAGCAAAGTCTGTTCTGCTAAAACTTTTCCTAAAACAGTGCAAAAACAATGTGAAACACGAGCAGATGTTTACGTATAGCATACACCCAGACTCCAAAGCGAAAAAAACGCAATCCGGGTAATTCATAAGTCTAACAAAATATTGATAACTAGCTGAGTTACCCAGCGTTGCACGGGGAAAATTTAGATTTGGAATGTATAGATCAATATTTTTTCAGCAGATTATTTAGTAAGTAGACAAAAGCTGTGATGCGAGAAATAAAAAAGCATTTAATCAAACAAAGCTTTATTTGAAATTAGATCGTGTTTGAGCTTGTCTTGTTTTTTGAGACTGAAGTCGTACATCATGTTGCT